ACACACACACACACACACACACACACACACACACACACACACACACATGCGTGCATGCACACACGCATACACAGGCACACACACATGCATGCATACACACACAGACTTTCACTCTCCCATTTGATAAACATAGGAATTTTGCTAATTGAAATCTCTTATAGTACAATCATAACTGATGTTGATGCTTAAGGGATTCCTTCATCATTAACGATAACGCTCATTGTTTGACTGTTTAGGTGTGTGTTGCCATAACTCAACTGTAAAATGACAAAATCCAAGTGGTAATTTGTTATTGATTAGAACACTTGACTAGAAACTCCCCTTGTTCCCCTAAACAAGCTAGCTAATCAGCAATATACACGGGAATAAACATGTAGGTCTTGCTGCCTCTTTCTCCATCTATCTAGTCATCCATCCTCTTCTCTATTATCTGTGTATGTAAGGATGTATCTAAAGTCTATCTTCTATTCATATTTGTCACTATTATTTATTCCTTATCTAACATCAGTCTTTCATTCTGTCATCTATTATTATTATCACCTAATCTAGCATCTGGCCATCCACTTGTCAGGTATGTATATATGGATCTGTCCATCCATCTGTCCATAGGTGAGAGGTTGTCCCCAAGCACATTGAGCAGCAGCGCCATGACTGGGTGTGTTTTCCTTTGAGTTGCACATGGATGTGGGAAAAGGGGGAGGGAGAGAGCCAGAGGGGTGCTTACAGGCAACAAAACACCCAATTTTACTTTTTCCTAAGGACATTCAGGGCCTTCTGAAAACGTCTAGGTCCCAAATCAACAAGTTTAAGGAAACAAATCTGTGCATCTTGCCATTCATTAACATGTCCATTCAGACATCTGAGTGGAGGCTGAACAGCACTCCCGGCCTCAGGAGATGCATGGAGACACAGTGGCAAGGTCTAATTTGAGTCCTGAGAATGAGTCACTGGCCTCCATGCCTCGCTGCTGTGGATGTTAATTTCAGTTCTTCTGGGATTGCTGCCTTCTCTTTTTTTCAGTGCCATGGCATGGCTCATTAGCCAGCTCCAAACACCTTATCCCCAAGGTCAGACTGTCTGCCCAGCCACAGAGCTGTATGTGAGGTGAATAGCAGAGCTGCTGAAAGGGCTTTCTAGATGCTCTGTATAGCTACACAGCTCGAGAAGGAAGACTGTTAAACAGTTTGCTTTGTTTCCTTTCACTCATAGACGGGAATATACTTTGAAGGGAGCCTTTGCCCTGTCAAGAGCCTGGCAGAGGTGGGTGGGTTTCAGTTTCAATTTCGAGTTCTTAAGCCTTTAACACGTTTTCCTCCATGCCTCTGCTTCCTGACCACGCTCATCACAGGCCCTACAGATGAGGATAATGTAAGCCTGGCTCTCCCATTTCTGTCATACACAGCTGGACGACCTGAGGCAGGTTGCCGCTGATCTGAACTCAGTCTCTTATCTACAAAGCAGGTACGAGATGCTCTGTCCTCTGGCTGTTTGAGAACATTAGAAAATGCCCCCAAAAGGGTCTGTGGGGGTGTGTGATCACACAGAGATCCCTCCCTTCCCCCCTGGCTGCTGGGGTGAGTGAACAAAGTAAATAATTCAGCATCACTTCAGGGCTGTTTAGTACCATAAAGAAAAGCCTTCCAACCCTCTGGCATTGGGGTCTGATGGAGGAGGTACTCAGTAGCCAGTGCAGCATTTATAAAAAGCAGAAACCTGCAAATTTGATGAAATTTGCAGGAAAATGGTGGGAACTAGAAAAGATCATCCTGAGTGAGGTATCCCAGAAGCAGAAAGACACACATGGTATATACTCACTTATGTAATATAGGATAAACATACTAAAATCTGTACACCTAAAGAAGCTAAGCAAGAAGGAGAACCCTAGGGAAGATGCTCAATCCTTATTCAGAAAGGCAAATGGGGAAGACATCAGAAGATGGAGAAAACAGGGAACAGGACAGGAGCCTACTACAGAGGGCCTCTGAAAGACTCTAGCCAGCAGGGTATCAAAGTAGATACTGAAACTCAAAGCCAAACTTTGGACAAAGTGCAGGGAATCTTATGAAAGAAAGCGGAGATGGAAAGACCTGGAGGGGACTGGAGCTCCACAAGGAAAACAACAGAACCAAAAAAATCTGGGCTCAGAGGTCTTTGCTGAGATAGATACTCCAACCAAGGACCATGTATGGAGATAACCTAGAACCTCTGCACAAATGTAGCCCATGGCAGTGGGTTTCCTAGTAAGGGGAATAGGGACTGTCTCTGACATGAACCCAGTGGCTGGCTCTTTGATCACCTCCTCCTGGGGTGGAGGGCAGCCTTACCAGACCACAGAGGAAGACAAGTCAGGCAGCTAGTCCTGATGTGCTCTGATAGGCAAGGGTCAGATGAAAGGGGAGGAGGTCAGTGGACCAGGGGGAGGGACATGAGAGGAGAAAAAAGAGAGGGAGGGTAAGGTTGGGAAGGGACATGGAAGAGATACAACGTGAATAAATAAAAAAATAAATTAAAAATGTGAAAAAAACCCAGAAGCTCCCAGCCTTTGTAGGTATTAACATATCCCTTGCTCCCTTGCCTCTCACTAGGGCTATTGCAGCTAGAGGAGTTGGGAAGGAGCAGGGCCAACTGAAGGAGAAAGGGAGGAGGAGGAAGAACAAGAGCCTGTGTTCACATCCCTGCAGTGGCAATGGACTGGGCAGTCCTTTCTGGACTAGTCTGTGGAGCCAAGGAAAATAAAAACCCTCTCTCATATCTCAGAGATCCCTGAGAGATCTGGGAACCAGAAGGTCACACCCAATCTCCTGCTTCTCCATCCCCAGGAAACAACTTCCAGGGCTTTCCCAGGAGCAGAAACCTCTGTGATGGAGGATAGAGCACAAGCCACAGCCTAAAATCCAGGAGGATATGAAGCCACAGGAAATGGCTCTGTGGGCAGAAACAGGAAGAATACAAAGTTGGGGAGCAGAGGAACTGAAGTGAGGCATTCTTTTAAGTGCCACTTAAAATTCCCCAGACTTCCTAAATAATAGCCTCGGGATCACGAACCATAGAAACGCAACTGCTTTGTACTGTCTTCCTGAAAGGATCAGAACTCTTTTTTCCCCTCCAACAAAGGAATATCTACTGTTTTTACAGTTAATCAGCTGTAATGAAAGGATATGAAGAGCTGTCATGTGCTTATTAGAGAAAATTAGCAGATATTCTTTTATATGATGAAGTAACACACTGAGCTGATAATGCTATAGTGCACACTAAATTACAATTAGAGGCCTTTCTGCTCCACCAGAATCTCATTTATAATCTCAATGGAATATTCTTCCTGCAGTTATTTCATTTATGCTTCCTTTATGTAATTACTATAATATTGGTTCTGAATCGTATTTTCCTAATGTGCCCTTATTCAATTATAAAGTTATTTTCAAGTATGGTTACTTTCTAATATCAAAGAACATGATTTGGCCATCTCTGTCATCTGCTGTGCTTCTTAATTACAGATTGTTCGTGAGCCATTTTCATCTCCATTTTTAAGGGTAAAATTTCTTATAAATCAAAATCTACTGACTTGGCCCATTTCTTAAAAAAAAAAAAAATTAGCCTGAATGGAACATCCTAATGATGAGTTTGGTATGGTTAGAAGCAAAACTACTCATGTATCTTCAACATATGTTCCTGTTTGGTTGGATTTCTCTGCTTACATAGAAGGAATAGTTTTAAATGTTCTGGGGTCTCAGTCAAGTGGATATCTTTTCTGGAAGGTTGTTAAGAATAAGGACACATCATAACAGTGAGCCAATATAATGCTAGCTTTTTAAAGACAGTCTGGTAAGGTAAAGACACAAAGCCCCTGCTACAAGGTCATGGTTGAGATTCCCCAAGCAGGGCGGGTGCTAACTGAGGTGTATCTGCAAGAGGAGGCCCAGAAGCTCAGCTGCAGAGGCTTGGCACACCTCTCACAGCTGCTGACAGATACAGATGCCCTGGGGGGAAGGCTTTCACTGGTCAGGCTGTAGGAAGGGGTGGGGTGAATCTCCCTATGACACTGTTCCTTTGCAGTCTCAAGTGGCGGAAGGGCCAGGTGATCTAGTCTCCAGGCCGTGCACATCACGTGATCCCTTAGAGAGGCACAGCAGCATGCAGCTGTCTCCGTGAACCCTGTACCAGGATTTTGGGAAGAAAATCATAAAACAGGGAAGAGAGGATGTGTTTTCATTGGCAGAGACATTTTAAACTTATTTTGAATTTTCTAAGCAGCAGCAACGTTTAATTGTAAATGGTTGTTTTTGCTTGTCTGTTCTTTATAAAATGTGTTCTTGGTGGAAGAACTTGCATTCAGGAGTTGTCTTTCCAGTTGCTGGGTCACAGGGCTGGCCACGATAAGCATTTGTACCAGCTCCTGTCCCTGATCAGGAACATCCGTGTGATCCACGGCTGTGTTAGAGATTGAGTAGGTTAGCCACAGGGCTGGACTTTGCTAGTTGGAGGTCTGCTGAGCTAGCCTTGTGCTGTTAGCTAGCCTTGGATTATGCTAGCCGTGGGTCTGATGGAATAGCCGCAGGTGTGTTGGGCTAACTGTAGCTCTCCTGGTCAGGCTGTAGACCCGTTAAGCTAGCCGTGGGTCAGGCCTATGGTAGCCACAGGTCTGTTGTGTCTTGCCAGGAAAGGGGCTGCCATGTGGACAGCAGTAAGATTCTCTTACTTGGATCCACTACTGTTAGGCCCAGCCTTCAAACTGCTGTAAAGTTCCCGAGGTTTAAAACACAGTTGTTTTGTCCAAAGAACTTGGGGATACTGGACTTTGTTTTCCAATTATGTGTTCCTAAACTGGTCAAATAGTGGATTCAGTACTTTCTGGTCTTTATTTTACTTAGCAAATCTCTTTAGATAAGAAACTGACCGAGTAATAGTTTTTGTAAGAAGGGTGTTAGATCACTAAGCGTGCATCAATTATAATTATCTATGTTGTAGAACTAGGAAAACCCACAGAAATGAGTTATTAGATCAGCTGATGATTTGTAGTTCCTGTCCCTAATTTTCTCGGGAAGTGATGTCACTGAGTCTGCAAGGTAGATAGCTGAGGTTCCAGCCCAGCATGGGTCCTGCCACCCTTGTGAGGCCGCCCTCAGTGCCCAGGGTCCGGCCTTCCATCCCTCTCTGGTTCTGCCCAGCTTTTGCCCTTTTACCCTTTGGCACTATTTTCTGCCTCTTGCCCAGATACTATTTTCTGCCTCATCCCCAGGGGCCTTTATGCACCCCCATGGTCTCTTCCTAGTCTTCTGGTCCTTTGGGGAGACTTCTTTCCTCGCCCAGATCTTTCCACACTTGTACAAACACTGTCCTGGGCCTCAGCCTGACACTTTTTTTTTTTTTTTTTTTTTTTGAGAAAGCCTTTTGATCACCCAAAGTTTTCAAAAAAGCTGCAACTTATAGTGAGAAATACATTTGACAGCAGGACAATAAGGGCATTCAGAGGTGGGTATGTATGTGTTTTATTTCATTTCACTTTGAAAATATGTAATGAATTTTAGTGTATCCACAGATACAACCATTACCACTAAGTTTAGAACATTTATATCTAAAAGTGATCTTCTATCTGCCCATCCACACATGCATCCACCACCACCATCACCACCATCATCATCACCACCATCATCATCACCATCATAATCATTATCACCATCAATCACCATCATCACCATTATCACTACCACCATCATTATCGCCACCATCATCACCACCATCATCATCACCATCATCATTATCACCATCAATCACCATCATCACCATTATCACTACCACCATCATTATCATCACCATCATTATCACCACCGTCATCATCACCATCATCATCATAATCATTATCACCATCAATCACCATCATCACCATCATCACCGTCATCATCATCATCATGTGCCCTCTGAAATGCTTTGAACTGGTATTTCACCTTCTTCCCAGACAGGCGCCATCACTTATGTAGAATACTTAAGTAGAATCTTCCTGGCTACACTGACTTCATGTGCTATTATCAGGTCTTTAAAGATGTTCACTTTGTGCATATACGCTTTGCTTACATGTATGTGTGTGTGCCATGTGCGCACCTGGTGTTCACAGAGCCAGTAAAGAGTGTTAGATCCCCTCAGACTAGAGTTGCAGATGGCTGTGAGCCACTGTGTGGGTGACGGGAACTGAAGCTGCCCAGTGCTCTTAACCACCGTGCAGTCTCCACAGCCCTTTATCTAGTCTTAATGAGCACTTTGGAAGACAGGCCCTAGACCATGGTTGGTCTCCTGCCGTGCAAGTTACAGCTCCATTTTCTTCCTGTCACGACTTGGTGAATGTCTCAGTCAGTGTGCTTGGAGGGTGACTGTCCCCAGAGGCAGGTTCAAGGTGCAGTGCTGAGCAAGCAGTAGGTTTTCCATGAATTGCAGGTGCATGGCTATATGTATCTTTGAAAAGGAAAAATAATCTCACCTCTATCTCTCTCTCTGTGTGTGAACATGAGCACATGTGCACATTTGTGAATGAGTGTGGATGCCTGAAGGTCAACCTTCAGGTGCTGTCCACTTTGTCTTTTGAGACAGCGCCTCTCTCCAGCCTGGAATTCATCAAGTAGGCTGGGGTTGCTGACAGCAAGCCCCAGGCATTCACCTACCTCTGTTTCCCTAGCACTGCGGTTCTAAGCATGTACCACCATGCTCATTTCCCCCATGGGGGCTAAGGATTAGACTCAGGGCCTTGTTCTAGTGCAGCGAGCACTTAGTAAAGCCATCCCTCATACCCTGATCTTCAATAAATGAAGCTACTGTGTCCCACTTTCCCATAATGCAGGCCAGTGGCCATTTAACTTTTTTTTCTAAAAAAAGGACTTGGCCATGAATTACTCAGTAATGGTCACTGTGCTTCGTTGTGTCACTTTTCCTGATACATTCAACTTGAGCAGTCTGTTACCAGGGCGACCCAACACGTGAGCCCTGATGGTGTTGATGACAGGAGCCACGTGGCTCACAACAGACCTTGAGCTTTGGCTTTGCTGTTAGTGAACCTGTCCCCAGCACACATCCTCCCTACCCCTGCTCCCTCCTGTGCCCTGTACCTGTCTTTGCCCGTCTCCTGCTTGAAGAGCTCATCAAACTGCAGCATCTTGTGGCGCGTGATCATGAAGGCCTTCAGCCGAGGCAGCACCTGGTTGAGGAGCTGCAGGTTGTTGTACACCTGGCCCTTGCCATCCCGCCGCATGTAGCTGCTCGGACCCCAGAAGATGAACACGGTGCCCTGGCTCACGTTGAGCAGGTCATGGCGGTTGCGGAGGATCCTCTGGATGCTGGAATGGGCGATGACCCGCAGGCTTGTGCGGTTGCCCACATCATGCCCATAGCCTCGGGTGGGGGCGTCATTCATGCGGATGACACACTCTGTCTGGTCAATGTGGGGGCCCTGCTTACTGCGCAACAGATGCCCTGAGCTGGTCACCAGGGCGCAGTCCTTGCAATGCATTTTCAAGGGCTGCAAGTCAAGGGAGGAGAAAGACGGTGTCAGGCACAGGGTTTACCTCCCTCAGCCTCAGGTTCAGCCCTGTCTTCAGATAACGGTGTCTCCTCCCCCTCTGACAGCCCCCACCCTCTATGGGCTGACTTGTGCAGATTGTGCCTGTCCATTGCAGCTGCATGTACCCTTGTCCTTTCGTCTGCACTGCAGACAAAGGCTGTTAGACTAGGGAGAAAGGGCTGCTGTGGATCTGGCTGTCACTGGCTAGGGCTTAGATACCTGTGTGGACATGTGAAGCCAGCAAGGTGGGCGTTGCCATTCTTGGAGATGAGAAGTCCTGAAGGCATACTTTTAAAACCAGGTCTTTCTGAATCTGAAGCTGGCCCCGTGTCAAAGCAAAGTCTCGTCTGCAAATTGCTGTGATGATGGACTTAGAACTTTTCTTCATCTTACTGAAAGACTAAGCATTTGTCAAGGCCCTTGGGTGCTGGGAAAGTGTGTTGATCCTTAATAAACTGCCATTCAAGAGTCGCATGAGCAATGACATGCAGATTCTATGCTGTGATTTTGACAAATTAAGACTAATTTTTTTTTTCTTCTTTTTAAGGCATAGGGTAGGGCAGAAGCTTCAGTCGCCCGTTTTCATTGCTGTAAATAAAGCCTCCAGCTCGCAGCCTCGGATTCTGGAACTAGTGTGCCCGGTTTCCTTTCTGAAAACACGCTCCCATGATGCGTTGCCTGGAAAGCCAACAGCAGACAACATCGCTGACCGTGCCCAGTGGAGCACCCTGAATCAAAGATTTCCTTTCCCAACACGTAAGAGCTAACAAATTAAAGACCTTCTGTTCATGTTTAATGGGAAATATCTCTTCCTTGTTCTAAGAAGATAATAAAATCAGAGCCTGACCCAAAGCCAGGAAGTTCAAAAGAAAATGACAATCTGAATGTTTTGTGTTGAGACAGGGTTTCACTTAGCCCAGGACAGCCTCGAATATGTAGCCAAGAGTTACTCTGAACTCCAGAGCTTCCTGCCTCCATCTGGGATCACAGGCACACTCCAGCAGTTTATACAGTGCTGGGGACTGACCCCAGGGCTGCATGCATTCTCAGAGAGCACTCTACCAACTGAGCCACAGGCCCAGCCCTATTGAAACATTCTGAAGGAAAGCTGCCTCACTGAGGTCCTCCAGAGCTCTGCCCTTTCCTCTTTAACTGTGAACTGGGCATCTGGACTCACGGAACTAAATCCATATTAGCACTGAAACACTCAGCCTTACATTAACTGTGAGAGCTTCCTGAACCATGGGTGTGATGTCATAGTCTGACTGAGTGCTCTCCAAGATGGCCTCACATGCAAGGTGGGTCCAGGGTTTGTCTGCAGCGCCTGTTTGGCTATAGAAACTTTCTAAGTCACTGACCTCTAGAAGCCTTGGTTTCTTCAATGCTCGCAGAGGAAAACAGCCCTTTCTACTGGAAGTGGAGGTGGGGCTGAGATGTGGGAAGTTTTGATTGTCATTAGAGTCAGTACTATCTGATATATGAAAATAGTCATTGCATATAGCCGAGCCCAGCTGCAGTACGGGATTCGCCATGAGGATTAGTCAGCAATGACAGGTGCTCTCAGGTCGACCATTTAAGTGGTGAGGTAGAGGCAGGTGTAGTATCCCTGTGACTGTGAGGCCAGCACGTCTATGTAGCCAGTTCCAGCCCAGCAGGGCTACACAGTGAAACTGTGTTTTAAAACATTTAACATGGGGCATGTGGTAAATACTCAGGAAATCAGGACGAAGCCCTTTGAGCTAACGACTGACACGTGACGTGGGCTTTGGAAATCAGAGACTTGGCCACTCTTAAGTTGTCACCTTGTGTGCAGTGTTTGCTTGTTCTTGGGTGACACTAATTGGGTGCTGTCTCAGTCCTTGTTGCCTTGACACACCTGGGAAGAGGGAAACCATCTGAGGAAACGCCTCCATCAGCTTGGCCATAAGGACATGTCTGTGGGGCATTTTCTTGATTGCCCATTAAGGGGGCGCCCACCCCAGTGTGGGCGGAGCCACCCTTGGGCAGATGGTCCTGGGTTAACTATAGAAGCTGGCTGAAGGGGAGTTAGGCATCACTGTTCTTTGGTCTCTGCTTCAATTCCTGGCTCTGTGTTTCTGCCTTGAGCTCCTGCTCTGGCTTTCCTTGGTAATGGAGTATGACATGTAAGTCAAATAAACCCTTTTGGGTTAGTTTTAAGTTGTTGTTGTTTGAGATAATAATATATTATTTTCCCCTTCTCTTCCTTCTGTTCAAGACCTTCCATACATGCCTCCTTGCTCTCTTTCAAGCTCATGGCCTCTTTCCCCATTAATTGTTGTATATGAAGGTGTAGGTGTGTGTGTGTGTGTGTGTGTATTCCAAATGTATGCAATCTAGTACATATAATGTTACATGTATGCATATGTCTTTCTGTGTTTTAACATAGCAAAAGAAAGCAAACTATTGCATGGAGTTAGGCAGTCAGATGCAGAAAAGAGGGGTCAGAGCCTCCAAAGCTTGTTCCTTGGTGAGGGACTATGGGTGAAGAAATACACTAAGGTGTGACTGGGTTTATGGGGGAGGTCTGAGCTGGCGGCTGATTGATGGAGATTAATTAGGCCACTGCAAGGCTGTGTGTTAAAAGAGAGTGGTCAAGTAGCAATTCATTGAGTGCTCTGCAGGTGCTGGGAATGTCTCTGAGCTTACTGTATAATCATGTTTGTCTTTCAAATAATCCTGTAAAATATTGGTGCTGCTACTTTACAAATTAGAAGTTTGAAGGATTAAAAATAGTAGTGTAATTTTACTCAAGATCATGCAGGTAAGAAAGGGAGAATTAGGGCAGGAAGGTAGGCTCTCTGGCTCTAGAGCCAATGGGATTAGCCATTAGGCTAGCACAGTGCAGTAGGGTAGCAAGCGTGTCAGGGGATATTAGCTGCATTCACTGGCCCCTCCCAACCCCCCTCCCCAAACCCAGTTTTCTAGTTCTTAGTCATGTGTGTTCCAACTCTACTCTGACCTGGGGAGATGCAGTAAAACGACAGCCAGTACCCTGCTCCCTGTGAGAGCATTCAGAGAAGTAGCCACTTCCCAGGACCCTGAGTCCAAAAGGGTAACATGTGGTCAAGACCCGAACTTCTTGAGTCAGAGCCACATTCCTGTTTATTCAGTTTTGGGGGTCTAGAGGAAAGAGACTGCCAACACCTCTGTGTAGACTTCTGGGGTAAAGGTTTCTTGTTTTACAGTTGCATTCTGTGTGTGAATTATAAAGAAGTCAATATGGTTTATTCAGTGATCTTTATTTGTCACTAAGGTGTGGCAGCAGCTTGTTCTCATCTGGGTAAATCAGGAAGCAAAGAGAACAGGGCATGGGGAAGGGCTGTAAATCTCAAGAGCTTCACCTTTTCCAGCTAGACCCCACCTCCCAAGGTTTCCACAGGCCCAAAATGTCATCAACAGCAGGAGCCTAAGTGTTGAAACAGGAGTCTTGGGGGGTGGGAGGGTTCTACAGCTAATCAGTTCCCCTTGGTGCTATAGATAAAGCATGACGAAAGCCTCTCTCAAGGAGCTTGCTGTCCAGGGAGAGGGTGCGTTCAGAACAATTAAAGGATCCAAGTGAGTGCTGAACTAATCTGGCACAAGGGCCTCTGGGACCCAGGATAAGGGGCTGTGGAACCTTCCCAGAAAAGCCAGAAAGGCAGGGGGACAGCCAGCAAGGGATTGTGCGGTGGAAACCAACACAAGAGGGGGTGTTAGAAGGAGGAAGTAACAACAGAACTAGAGGGGGGAAAGTATCCTTTGCTTCTTGATGACTAGGACTACTGAACAAAGAGAACAGCAGCTGGGGGTAAGAGGCAAGGGGAGGGAGCAGAGCCAAAGAAAGGTGACTTTTTTCTTTTTACAAATTCAAAAATTTTTGAAAGTTTTTATTTGTATTTTGGTATTATAAGTGAACATTCTTAAATGGAACTCTTCTCTAAGAATATTTAAAAACATAAAAATTTGTTAATTATCAGATCTACACAAATTCTTAAAGGATTTCTGCATAAGTTTCATTAATGCAAACCTTTATAACTATTACACTGTTACTGTAGATCTTCAATCTGTTCTGTAATAATAAAATTTTGAAAGGACTTCTAAGGGTGGACAGAGGGCTGACAGTGGAGAACGAAGATTCTCAGAACTTACTAACAGTGCCTCGGGTTGCCTGTGTGGTAGAGTTGGAAGTCCTGCTTCCTGGGAAAGCTTTGAGTCCTGTGAGATAAAGCACCCTTAGTCTCAGCATTCATGGAGAGCCCCATGAAATGTCTGTGACAACGAGGAGGTTCTGCAAGGAGCAGGCTGTTCAGACACTGGAAGCTCAGGAGACTAAGTTTACAGCTGATCTCAGAACAAGTTCCCTAACCTTCTTACCCTTTTAAAACAAGAGGGATGATGCACTCCTTCACCCATTTCCTCATCCTGATATTCCTTTGAAGACCTTTAATGAATACTTCATATGCCCTGAGGCATCGCATAACCATACAACAAAGAACACTTTCTTCATTAGGTTATTTTATTGTTTTTTTTTAACTTTTTATGTTTTTATTAACATGTATTAATCATATGTAATAGTGGGGTTCATTATGAAATTTTCATACATGTATATAATGTATTTTTAATCAAAACAACCCTAAATTAGACTCTTTTGTTTCCTTCCCGCTGATTCTTTACTCTTCCTAACAAAATGTTCTTTCTACTTGTGTGTGTGTGGTGGGGAGGGACAGAAAGAGGGGAGGGGGACAGAGAGGGGGAACAATGAGTTTCTTTAGGGTTGCTTACAGGACCCTGGGCCCTTTACCAGGTGGCTACACCCCGCCTATAGATCCTCAAGAGAGCAGGGGCCTTGTGAGCATCTCCTCCCTCTCACTCATCAAGGACTGCTCATCTTGTCAGAGCTGTTAGCTCAGGAGTACAGCAGCCCCACATAGTGGGTGGTAGACAGGGATCCACAGCAC